TGTGCGGCGGATTTTCGTTGCGTAATTTGACTCATGCGTCATTTTACTTGAGTAAAATAACTCACGTGTGCGCCGGGCAAAGTGCCAATGCGTTAAGGCTCAACAATGCAATGGTCATGCATGTGCACCGAGACATGTTAGACAAGGTAGATGAACAAAATGTAATTTCAGAATTTGTAAGTTGCCATCCAGGCAGAAAAGATAAAATTGGAATAATGAAAAAATAGAATGACAAGTTATCTGACTGGACTGTCTGGTATTACTATTAATACTGATCAATTAGAGGTGTTATATCAGTGCTCTAAGATTTGGAATGTGTGACAATGTGCCTATTCAAATTCAAACTTCAAAACATACAGACATAGTGAAAGTATAAATGCAGATTGAAAATAGGCTTATTTTTCATAATTATGTAGGCCTACTGATAGTATATACAATTTTGTAAATAATGTTTTATTAGTTATCATACTCATAATATATATTTTAGATACTTTAGTCAAAACATCAGCTTTAGCTACATTCCTCTTTGAAATTTACATATTGACCTTTTAAAATGATCAGAATTGGTTGCTTTCAACATAGCCTGAAAATGCAGGAAATGCCATTTCCAGGCTCTACATTTCCAAATTTTTCCCCATACCCCCCGCATCGGCTACATATTTCTGCAGTGGCACTTTTTGGGAGGCCACTACGGCCATGATTACATGCAACAATGTTCGTATATATTATTATGGTCTATGAATCTCGCCGCTTTCTTACCACGGCGCGAATGGCGCTCACTAGATATAGTTGTTGTGTTGCTCCAAGAGATGGCGCTCACATAGCCAATCTGTCCTGTGTCCTATCATGGTCCGTAGCCGTCCTTTGTGAAAAGCGCGCAAATTCGACTACGGTGCATTTCAGCATGTATCAGGGTTCCGAGTAGTTATTGACAAAATTTATGTATTTTACTGTGTAATTATTTATTATATGAGGAAATAGTGTGTTGAAGGAAAGCACCAGCAGACGTACTGTACTAGATATGGAAGATTTCACGTATTATAGGTATGATTGTGAAGTATTTTGATTATTCAGTAGTACAAGTTTAAGTTATCTGCTAGCTAGTGCTACCCTGGGCCTAGCCACAAGTTCCCATCTCGCTTAACACTACGTGGCGAGAGGCCGTGTAACTAGTGTAACGCCGTGTAACTAGTCGGAGAGCCTGGTCGGTTTACCCTGGGCCTGGCTCTGGTAATGTTTTAGTGTTTGTCATTGCTTACGGCGATGCGTCGACTCGGATCAAATATGGTACTAAGTTATCGCATTGTTAATTCTCGTTTTGTAACGTTATAAAAAACAAACAACCGAACGTGCTTGTAGTGCTTGTAGTTGTAGTTGTACTGTAGTTGTAACTTGTAGTTGTACTGTAGTTGTACTTGTAAGTTGTAGTTGTAGAATGTAGATTGTAGAATGTAGTGTCAAAACATCGTAATTCGTCTACATGACTCATGTCAGTCATGAGCCTGAGGGTACATTCGCAATTTTTGGATGTAGCCTGTGGTCGAAGAGATAAATTGTGGCTTGAGCAGAATTGCGAGCACTCGTGTTTCTACAATTATGCTGTTTAGAAACTATAATATGATCATTATACTTAATACTTATAGCAACCACAGCAACATGAGTTATATGAGTGATTCGTCGGAATCAGATGCGCTCGATCATGAATACAACATTCCAGCTGCAAAAGGAGGCAAGAAAAACATCAACCGAGGACGATGGAGCAGAGAAGAGGTTGCTAATAAGTTTAATTTGTTTTGATCGAATATTGATTCGTTTTTAATTTTTGGTAACATATCGAACACGTTCATTCAACCGTAAACATATGTATGCATAAATAACTTATAGTACAAGCGAATACGTATCACTGTAATTATGGGCACGTGGCAATTTTAACATGTATGCTAATTAATAGATATGTGGATGAGGCTTTAGGTAGTATTTGACACCAGTGAAATCAATAAAACCATGTGGAACGTATGTCATGTGTATTTCAGGATGAGAAACTCAAGAAAATGGTGGATGCCCATAGTACAAATGACTGGAAGGTTGTAGCCAGTTTTTTTCCGGACCGTAGTGACGTGCAGTGTCAGCACAGGTGGCAGAAAGTTGTTAATCCTGAACTTATCAAGGGACCTTGGACTAAGGAGGAGGATGAATATGTTGTAAAGCTAGTCAAGCAGTATGGGCCAAAAAGGTGGTCACTGATTGCCAAGCACTTAAATGGCCGAATAGGAAAGCAGTGTAGAGAGAGGTATATGCCCGAAAGAGATGTCATGCTCCATTAGTTCATTGCTATTGATCTATTTTGATTGTTGGATAATGTTGCAATATTTCAGTGCATTGTTCTCACGTATATTTTCTAATCTGAAGTTTTTTATTGTGTTGTAGCTGTACTTTCTTAGATATTAGTGTATGTGATTTTTTGTGTGCTAATTTCACAGATGGCACAATCATTTGAACCCTGACATAAAGAAAACAGCTTGGACAGAGGAGGAGGATAGACTAATCTATGAGGCACATCAAAAACTAGGGAACCGATGGGCTGAAATTGCCAAGCTGCTTCCTGGAAGGTTTGTGTGTGTTCTTCACTGGTCATCTTTCTTGGCCTTTTAAGATGAGAGTGAAGGGATTAATCTTCCTCTTCTCCCCTAATGACCGGCCGCCCTGTAATGGTTTTATTGATGTCCTTATTATAATCCTGATTTCATGATGGTTCAGACAAGGTCCCCATAGGACTAGGTTCATCATTGCTCCGTGTGGAACGTTATGTAATAATAATTGTATTCATCTGTTATGTACACACATGTGCTACAAATGGTAAATATATTAAGGTGTTTAAACTAGATTCTTCAATGCAATGTTGCTGATGAATCTAAAATAGTCTTGCTAGTGGCATCAGCTGATCTTCAGACATCAGAATTCTCTATGACACTATTTGTCGAATATTTTGAAGAAAAATTGCTAATAGCCATTTGTGGTGCACCCTACATGCTAGGTCATTTCTGTCATGCCACTGGGTCAAAGAACATAGAAATTCATTCACATTGTGTTATTTCATTCATACGTAGCATCTGTCAGATAGACAGCAGAGAAAGTGAGGAGTGTATGTGATAAAGAAAGCCAGAATGAGAAAGAGAGAGAAAGAGGATGCAAATAGAATGAATAGGAGAGAGAGGGGTTTTGTTTATTCTACTACTATACACAATGCTGCATGCTAACATACTGGTTATACATTCCCTAGTACAGCTGTATCAGTTACATTCTACATTCTACACAGTGGTGGTGGTAGCATAGGAGCTTGATGAGTACAATATATTTTTATAAAAAATTACCATTGCTAGTTCAGTAATACATCTCAAATCTTAGGAGGTTTTAATATCCCTAAAAAATGCTGTGGTTTATAGTGAATAGAGCATTTAATGTTAAATGTTGGTTTATGGGAATGAGGCCACAGTAACAGGCGATGGCAATTTATTTCTTATTCCTCAACAACACAGAAATAGCATAACGCTTCACAGTATAACATGCAATTACAGTCCTCGACACTAACGCAGGGTGCAAAGTCAAATACTCCCTGATTTACTGTCGGACTCCCTGATTAGACATCTGCAGGAGTCCGTGGGACTCCCTGAAAATTCTGCTATACTAACAAGTTCAATGCACAAACAATTCAGAGCACGGCCTCACGGAATTGCCGTATTTTTTTCAGCAAATGTCCAAAGAAAATTTGGCAGACGTGCATCGCATGAATCTTCAAATACGCACATGCGTTATTGTTGTTGT